CTATAAGGTCTATAAAAGAACAAAGAGAAGGTCATTGGCTTCTCGGCTCACTGCTCATGCTCTGCTCGAAAGACGGCGAGACAGAATGTGCAGAGTCGCTAGAACAAAGTCGGCAGCACTCCTCACTGGCGATCGATTCCTCTCGTCTATTGACTCCGTTCGGCACTCCGATCTCCATGTCGGCAGATCTCCAGTAACCATATGAAAGGATTTCGTTATACAATTTGACCAGACAAGGCTGAAGTGTTGGATTCAATAACATCTCAAATTCGAATCACTATTTCATCAAAGTTTGCTACCACTATGAAGAAGGGTAAAATGAAAGCGGTAGTAATCACCGTGACTACTAAGGGTAAGAATGGTATTCTGGTGCTTATTGTTTTGGCAGTGATGCTATGTTTTATTGGTAGTGTTTACATTGGTATTGGTGTATATTTGTTTTGATAGATTGGTATTCAATATTGAAATTGAGTTGGATGCAGAGGGTCTGCATAATGGTTGTAGGATGTGCTTGGTTTGATATTGGTTCAGGTGCAGTGCCATTAAAATGAATTGTTTTGTTTGTCCATGTGTTTTAATGGTATTATTGTCTGTAGTTATGTGTTGGTAGACATATTGTTGATATCGGTATTCATCAGACATCATAGGACTATGATTTATTATTGTTTTGGTATTGATACATATTTTTATCTGTAAATATGTTTGGTTTGATAGGTATTGGTGTGGTCATACGTTGTTCAGCCGAACTAATACCGCTGCAACAACAAACAATAAATCAATACCAATTCATTACACAAGCACTACCATTGCACAAAACACCAATACCATTCGAGAAATAAAAACACTATCATTTCACAGAACACCAATATCATTGCATAATCAATACCATTACATGATAATCAATACCAATGCAAAAAAACACTACCAAGACGAAAAGAATCACTACCATTTCAAAAAATACAAACCAATCCTACTACTCTCTTCACGTCAAATCCTCGATCAATCTTCTTCCTTCCAAATCACAACACAATTAGCTTGCCAATATAATCAATAGGTTCAGCAAAGAAAACCCAGAAGCAATAAAACAAAATTAAACAACTTACACACTTATAGTTCCCTCCAATGAAGAACTGCAAACATAGGATGAAGAAACACAAAACAAATCCGATTGCTTTGAGACAGGAGGGCCGGAGAGCGAGGACGGGGGAGGGATGTCCGGCGCGTTGGAGAGAGAGGGAGGGAAGGAATGGCCGGCGTAGGCGGTGTGAAAGTCATTGTCGTCGACGAGTAGAGAGCTTGCGGCTGCGGCGGGTTAAAACTAGAGAGAGAAGTAGGGTTATCATAGAATATATAGAATAATCAAGTATTGTCTTTTTTTCTTCCAAAATTACCCTAAAACAATTTTAACTGTGAGATTAAAAAAAGAGGAAAAAAAGAAAAATAAATGGTAGATACTAAAGTAGCCACGGTGGCTACGTGGCTACTTAAAACCCAGTTACCACCTAACTCATTCCGGGTAAAATGGTTCACATACTTCCGACTTTGCAAGATTGGACCAGTTGGGTCTACCAACTTTGAACGATCCCAGACAATTTTGGCTACGTACCCACCACTCCCGAGATCTTTAGTCTATGGTATAGTAATGGAGAAGGTGGTGGTGGTCCATTTCCCCTGTACAATATTAACGTTTTGGCTTTAGGGCATGTTGGAAGGGCCATGCAGATGACCCTAATCTACTATCTTGATGTTGGACAGCCAGCGACACATCTACCACTCCCACTTCTCATTATCCTCCCTTAGTTACTTTCTACCCCTTTCTCTCATGATATTCCACTGCTTGTTTCAAGCTTTGGTCATTGTAATGACGGTCATTTTCGATTCCCCTTTTCATCTTCACGTTCAATGGTGATTGTCCAATCGTAAAACCAACCACGAGCCATGAAAGCTCCTCACTTCTTGGAAAGTCACAAACTTGGTCAGTCGGATGTTCTGGAATTGGGATCTTTCCATAGAACTGTACCATTACCACTCATTGTTGACCTGTTAAGCTTCACATGGGGGAGTGGGGGCAGAAAGGAGGAACTCCACCGCCCTTGGTGGTCACTCTCCACAACCAGACGCATAATTTTCCAAGTCCTTTTCGCATGTCTGCTTCTATCAACGGATTGACAAAACAGCAGCCCAATGTGTACCAAAATATACCACCAACATAATATGTCCCCTTCATCTCTCACATTGGGTTGGGGGGCAATTGACAACTTTGCTTCTTCAGTACTATGGTCACTCCCCCCCTTTCCTTAGGTCTTGATCATTTCTGGTACTGGCTTTTCATGGCCACCACAATTTGTTTCCTCCATATTCTCTGATCTGCAGCAAAGTGCTAAACATGATAAACCGACCATCGATTATGAGTAACGAAAGAGGCACACACCATTCAAGAAGACAACAAAAGAGGCACACACCATTCAAGAAGACAGCAAAAGTGGCTGATGGTGTCTCTAGAATGCTCGTGAACGACTGCTACATCTGCGAAGCTCGTATCACAGTGCCAGCATAAGGTCAAACTGAGTGACCAATCAACAGCCTGTGCAAGTAAAGATGAAAAACAAGTTGCTGGGAGTCACATCTGTGAGGACAAAATCCTCTGTCACTGTAATTGTTGATGGTTACCACTACTGAATTCTACACTTCTCTTGGACTCCAAGGCGAATGAAGTAGAAAAACATGTGCAGGGTTTACCTAAGGACCTCCTACGATCTACCGGCCAAGTATGGTAGAGAGAGGACCTAATAGTCTAATACCGATACTGACAGCTCTATTGATCTCAATCTTGTGAAGTCAGAGAATGAAAAGGAGGGGCCAGGCAAGCAGAGAAAACACACAAGGCAATTGGTTACCCAAAGAACATCCTGGATGTTGCAAAGTGAAAGAGGTAAAATTAGTCCTTTAGCAGAGGAGGAATCAGACAAAAGGCAAGAGAAAAATTCGTCAATTGTAAGCATCTGTGCAAGTGATTGACACTGCAGTAGTAGCCAAAGGTATATATTTCAAGAGCTGTAAAGATGTATCAGGTCCTTTCGACCTCTAGAAGTACTATTTTTTTTTTTTTTTTTTTCTTCTCGTCACTGTACTTTATTCTAAGGAATACTAAGAGAGCATTGATCTACTCTAGGGCTTGAAGCTGTGCTCATTGATACTAACAAGTATATCCTATTCATCTTAATTAAGCAACCCTTTCGGTGCTCTTCGACAAAGATTCTTAAATATACTAGAATCTTAGCATACAAAAGATTCCATCACCATTCATAACATTCCAGGACAAGAAGAAGCAAAATTTGTGAATTCCACAGTTTAGATTAGCATCTCCTCCACTTTAGTTCATGAAGCAAATTAAAAAGTTCAGCCTTCTTAAATTGGTGGCTTTATAGTCCCGTAGCAATTTCTAGGATAGAAACCAAGTCTTATTCTCCTAATATCTATGTAATCTTTCACAAGTACTGCTCTTGGCATACTCTATGAGAAGACAAAAGTGGCCAACCCCTTGATCTTGGTTTATTAACAACTTAAACCTTTCTCACTGCCTGGTTAGGAAAGCAAATGATAGTTTTCAGCTACAGAGGATCTATCTTCATCCAGTTCCTCAATCTAGAAAAATGAGTGAAGCGGGGAACTAAATATTTGGTGGCAGAGATAAACTAATCCTCCTAGCATGAAAGAGACCCATCCTGTCATCGTCTCCTAACCACCCAAGTTGGAGATCTCTCTGATTATGCATCCATGGGTTTCCAGGAGAATATGATCCACACAGTCATATGATGTGGGGAACAAAATTTTACTGGTGGCCCAGAAAGAAGACCTGATATGATGAATGAGGCCACTCCACTAACTAAGATGACTCCAGTAATAAATTTTAAAAAGAACAAAAAAGAAGAGACGCTAACTGATGATTCTAGTTTCCAGTGGTAGGAATAAGTTCCAGTCCAAGTTGGGTGAAAACACCACAAGCACCAGGAATAAGGAAAGACAACCAATAGAACAAGACAACATAGAAAGGCTTAATTTGCCCTTTTCTTATGCAAAGTACTGAAAATAGAAATTCTTCTTTACAGCCAAATCTTCCCAATTTGGGCAGTTCCTCAGTGATACATGATAATTGCATTTAACAAAAACACGCATATACCTAATGGAAATACCAGAAAAATAACTAGAGAAGCCACAAATACATTGTGATTAACATTAGCCACAGACTGGTGTTACCACACCACAAGATCACGTGAACGAGGTATGACTGTTATTTTGGGCCCTAGTTTAGTTTGGACTAAAACCTCGAATAAGTTGTTTAAACCAGAGTTTAAAAGATCTATGTATGAAAACTAGTTGAGACAGTCCTAAATTAACCAACCATACATAGTGGCGTTGTAGGTAAACAAGGAATCGCCTCATTTCAGATTAAAGTATCACCTTACAGGTTCAGACAAATACATAGCAAACAACCTAGACCCGACCTAGAGAACTAAAATACATTATCTAAACTATAAAAGTTGAATGCTTCATTCCAAACAAACAGCCCCAGCATTTAACTTTGGCTTCAAAGACAACATTATACCAGCAAAGTATAATATTTAACAATAACCATATCAATCATTTGTTTGTCAAGTCCGGATCCATATAATTATTTAGATTAGTCATCAGAGACCTGCTTATTCAAGGTAGCATCATTGAAACAGTATCTAGAAAATAGTCTCCAAGTCAGCATAGAGAACTCCAGAGACCACTAATCTTATTGGTATTCTATATCATTGCTCCCCATGAAGGCTAAAGATAGCCACCTAACTGCAATAAGCCACTATATTTACCAATTTTTTATATTTAACAACTTTTTAAGTGGATATCAATGGAAGGGTTAGTTTTGGTGTACCTTCTTTCTGAAGATGTGCTCGAGTACTTTATCGTTCACTTCTTCATTGGGGGTGTGGTAGTAGCTAAGCAATCCATATAAAACCTTCCTTTGTCCCTGTAGAAAGAGTCAGCATCCACCATATCAGAGAGAATATATTGTCACTTTCATGTCCATCTAGACCTTTCTCTATGAGTTGGAAGGACCACCATGCCTGCCCCTATATATATATGAGCCAAATGATTCCTCACCAGCTCAAAAACATAGTTCAATCAGAATCTAGAAGCTAGAGATCCTATAATTAGACACCGAGTACATCAGGAGTAGTCTGTGGAGACAGAGATGGTAAGGCTTCTTTCGAGCTCTTGTTCCAAAGTCTCTGGTCTTTACTTGTATCCTTTATAATATGTTCCATTTACAGGATGAAGCACAAAATTTGAATATGTGGGAAGGCTATGTAGACTGGAGGAACAAGCCTGCTGTGAGAGGCCGTCATGGTGGAATGCTAGCAGCCACCTTTGTCTTGGGTAAGTACAGCTATAAGCGCTTCTTAATGTTACCAATAACTTAATTTGACATGATGTACCTCTAACATCTGCTGAACTAATTCTTCTCTCTAATCATGAAACAACAACAGTTGTGGAGGTACTAGAAAATCTAGCATTCCTGGCTAATGCAAGCAACCTTGTGCTCTACCTATCAAAGTTCCTGCATTTCTCTCCATCTGGCTCAGCAAATATTGTTACTAATTTCATGGGGACATCCTTCCTCCTGGCTCTGGTTGGCGGTTTTCTAGCAGATGCATATCTCAACACCTACTGCATCTATTTGATAAGCGCCGTAATCGAATTCATGGTAAGTTACTGACTTATTTATGTTACAGTGCTCTTGTTTGACGCCTTCTCCTCTGGTCAATGATTGATTACACTACGAAAAGCAGCTCCTTTTTCTTGGTAAACATTTGCATCCTAGGGGTTGGACATTAATACTAGGATGAGAATTAACTTAAGCTACTAGCAACAACCAGCCAAATTGCTAGAGACATTAACCTTATGTAGCTACATGAAAAGACAGAGGGAATAGCTTTTCAAGATAATTGCAAGAGTACTAAGATATGGACCAGAATATCATAAATCTCACCTCTGGCATCTATGAATTGTCTAACAAGAAGGATGGCCCACGAGAGGACCCGAAATCATAAGAAATGCGCCAATTGCAAATTCATTTGTCTTTACAAGAACTTGAGTTCCCCACCAGCCAGGGCATTGAAAATCCAAGAAATAAATAGAAAGATGATGAAATGTACCAGAAATATTCAATCCACAACCAAGGTAGTTGGTCCCACAGCTCTAATTTAGTATGGCCCACTTGCAAATGAAAATGCCTTCTGGTAAGCTGCTGCTTGACATTTTTAGCCGAGAAAATTCACAGTTGCATTGACCTACATACCAGACATCAGGTTTTGACAGGAACAACAGATATCAAAGGCTCTAGACTGTAGCTAATCTATTCAATTTGCTTTCTATGAACCAGGGGTTGTCAGTACTTACAGTCCAAGCTGGTATCACCTCACTGAAACCACCTCCATGTGTCACCAACACTAGCATCCAATGTGAAGAAGCGAACGGTGAGAAAGCAGCAATATTCTTCGCAGGCCTCTATTTGGTGGCACTAGGTGTTGGAGGGATCAAAGGTTCGCTTCCTCCACATGGTGCAGAGCAATTCGATGAGACCACGCAGTTAGGAAGAAAGCAGAGATCAGCATTCTTCAATTACTATGTGTTCTGCCTCTCTTGTGGAGCTCTGATTGCAGTTACATTTGTTGTTTGGATTGAAGACAACAAAGGTTGGCAATGGGGTTTGGGAACTGCTACTGCTGCAATACTCCTATCAATACCTGTCTTCATCCTTGGCTCCCCAACTTATAGGACCAAAGTTCCAACAGGCAGTCCCATCACAACCCTTTTCAAGGTACCACTTATTATTCTACCAGGCATCATCATCATAGTAATAAGTAAAGCATAAAGCTCCACGAGTCACTAAATTATGCGTCTTCTGTTCCTATAGGTTCTAGGTGCAGCAATTTACAATGCCAGCAAATCTAGGAGTCCTAGCAATGCTATCATGGGAATGGAGACGAGCTCCTGTGATACCACTACTACCACCAGAGAAGGAGAAGAGAGAACCAACAAAAGCAAGACTCCAAACAAGACAACTGCAACTGAAAGCCTTGACTTCCTCAACGGAGCAACAAGTAACGAGAATACTGCCAATGGGATGCTCCAATGTAAAACCAATGAGGTAGAAGAGGTAAAGATTGTGGTGAGGATACTCCCAATCTTCATGTCTACCATAATGTTAAATTGCTGTCTTGCCCAGCTATCTACCTTCTCTGTGCAACAAGCAGCAACAATGAACACCAAACTAGGTTCATTCAAAGTCCCACCAGCCTCACTCCCCATTTTCCCAGTCATCTTCATTATGATCCTGGCACCAGTCTACAACCACATCATCATACCTTTTGCTAGGAGGATTACAAAATCCGAAATGGGAATCACTCATTTGCAAAGAATAGGGACAGGATTGGTACTTTCGATCGTAGCAATGATGGTGGCAGCCATTGTGGAGAGCAAGCGAAAGAGGACTGCAGCAGAATCTGGATTGCTAAATGCTTCTGCTGAACCTCTGCCCATGACATTCCTTTGGATAGCATTGCAGTATGTGTTCCTTGGATCAGCAGATCTCTTCACCTTGGCCGGAATGATGGACTTCTTCTTCTCGGAAGTCCCATTCAGCATGAGGTCATTGGCCACATCACTGTCTTGGGCGTCACTGGCGATGGGATACTATCTAAGTTCTGTGATCGTTGCGCTAGTAAATAGCATCACGGGTGCCTATCGACAAACTCCTTGGCTCAAAGGTGGAAACTTGAATGAGTATCACCTGGAGAGGTTTTACTGGTTGATGTGTGTGTTGAGTGGAATCAACTTCCTGCACTATCTGTTTTGGGCACGCCGCTACCAGTACAAATCAACTGAGGCTGAATCCGCGGAGTAAGCAGATAAACCTACTCACCAAATATCAGCATCTTTATCTTCTGAATCAACTTCACCGTCATGTGAAGATATGTATACTAGCTAGCTTGCCATAATTCTTGATCCTGAGTAGTACCTAGTGAGCATTCTGTTTCCATCCTGTACCGAAACGTATGAGATTCTGATACAATAAAGCTTTTCACTTCAGTGCAATTTTTGGTTCTGGATTGCTTTACGACCAAAGAAACAAATCCGATTCCAAAACCCAAGTCATCAACTACGTGACTACTGCAAGAAGGGAAAGACAAACTACCACTCACAATCTAGATATCAAGTACAGGCATTACCATTTAACACCTCCCAAAATGAACCGGAAACATATAATCGAAAACCCTTACACGGAAACTTGCCAACAACCAAAAAAGTGACAAAGCTGTACTAAGCTCTATAAACAGAAAGCTAATCAATTGGAACTTCGCGCCAGTCCCATGGTAAATCTTACTTACATATTGTGGCTGCGGCTGGTAATGTCATCGTCCTAGTTTTAGCCGGAAGCTTGAGAAGCTGAATTCTTCGTTGGTAAGCAGATCTCCTCTATTCAGTTCTTCTCGAGATTCAAGAGTGATGTGGAGATATTACTTTTAAATAAATGTTTTCAACAATCATAACAACAACGGGGATGTAGCTCAGATGGTAGAGCGCTCGCTTAGCATGCGAGAGGTACGGGGATCGATACCCCGCATCTCCATTTTTTAGGATTTTTTTTATTTTTTAGGATTTTTTTTATTCTGCCTTCCGGCAGGTTCGCCGTCGTACGGAGCGATCCCGATCTTTCTGGTTCTATTTTTTAGCAATCGTTCCATTCACAATTCAAATTATTCGTACGATACAAAACCGACAAATTAAATCTCCAACGAATAACACAAACACTAAAATTTTGCAAATTTCAATCAGCTTCCTGCAATCCTTCGAGCAAAATCGACCCCACAAACAGCCCAGCGGCGCCGACTCCTAGTGTCCCGGCGACCACAGCTTGGACGGCCACCAGTCCGGCCGAATCATCCGGTATTATCACCACCGCCGCAAGCGCCGCCACAGCCGCCGGCAGCGCAGCGGACGCGAGTGCAGCCGGCGAAACGGTGGCTACCTTCTCCAACAGGCTGAGCAGCCCCAGCTCCTCTGCTTTGGAGAACAACCCCAGCTTCTCGATCGACGACAGCGTGACTCCCAGCTCCTCGGCCTTGGAGAGCAAGCCAGCCTTCTCGACGTTGCTCAGAACCTTCCGCTTCTCCAGCTTCTTGAACACGTCCACCTCCAGCTCCTCGCCGCTCTCGTAGAATATCCCGGCGCCGTACCACTGCTTCTTCCACCCGCCGTCGATCTTGTTCACCTGCTTCCAGCCAGTAATTTGTTTGGGTTTCTTAACAAAAATTGAAATTCTGCCGGCGCCCGAGCACTGAATTGAAATTTTATGGAGAGCGGAAAGTGAAATTTGGTACTGGGTTTACCTTCTTCTGCGGTGCCATGGCGACGATTGAGAGGGATCTTCTGGTGGAGCATGACTGGTGAGGGGAGCGGAGCTTGGTGGATGCTATGGATAAGAATTGTTCGGTTGGCTTGCTTCCTCGGAAATAAGCGGCGGAAGATGGTGGTGCAGTCACTGCCGCCATTGATGGTGGATGAAGAATTAGGGAGGAAGAGTTTGGTTTCTCGGAGAAGAAGAACACGATTTTACCGATTGGTGGAGTTCTTTTTGGCCAGGCGGTGAGGAAAATGCCACGTCGGACTGTGGGCTGCAAATCTTTCTTCTGGTTTTCTAGATTTCTTTTGAGTGGGCTGGAATAACTTCCACCACCAATGGAATTCATCCCTATCTTCATCCTCTCGTAGTCCGTTCCACACATTGCCTTCTCTACTAAGGTTGTCAAAACTCAAAACTAGTGTCTTGCTTCGCGATTTAATATTGATCTATCCGTAAATAACTCAACTCATTGTATGTGAGTGATTGATGTATTCTACTGTGGATCAAAAAATTTATACTTGCACTAATTCGTGTGAGTAGTGGGTGGAGTAATTAGCATAAACCGTCACAATCTTTTACATAAAACGGTCACAAATTTTTAATTTTGTATGATTCGATAAACGTTCGAGCGTAAAACAAACCGTCATTTTGTCGTTCTCCATCCAAAAACTCCGTGAATTTGGTCCACTCAGTACTCCATCTCACAAAACTTATTCACTTAATATAACAACCCAACCTACCCGATGGACATAATGGTTTTGAAACGTGTACCACAATGGTCACAAAACTTTCTAGTTGATAAATAAATTGGTGATAACGCATTTAAGTGTAACAAAATGAGCACAATGCATGATTTTCGTTTTGTAGCAGAACATCACTAGCTTCTTGCCCGCCCGATGGGCGGTGTTACTTTTTAAGTGTAACAAAATGAGCAAAATGAGCCCGAATGGGTTGTTGAATGATAGGAAACTTGACTTTTCCTTGTCTACAGTAAAGATTAAAATGTCTAAGTGGTTTACTTTTTTTATCGCGATGTGTTTTCTTCATTCCACATAATAAACACAATATGGCCATGTACATGAATGAGGTCCAAATGTGAAAACTCTAACATGTCTAGCAATTGCACACAAAAACATGTATTAATTAAATAGTAGGGAAGAAATAATTCAATCTATTTAATATATATGCCAAGAGTTTAACTGATATAGCTTTAGAAAATAAAGGCCTCATTTTTTTTAAGTAATTATCTTCAATTTTCTGGATATGCGCTATACTTTAGTATTTAGTTTATTGATTGAATAGCTACAACCTATCATTTAAATAAATGAAAGTGACTTGTGGGATAATCAAAGGAGGTCTAAAATCCCTAACAAAAATATGGAGCTCTAAGTTTTTCAAGCAATGGAAAAGTTTATAAATAAATTAGAGTATAGACTGTATAGTAACAATAAAACATGTTTGATTACCTATGAAAGGACAAAATCCTGTTAAGCCAAATATTTAGAGAGATCATAGCATATTTTGACCATAATTATTATTATACATACTGTCGATTCGTCGAAACTATAGGAGAAGGAATTAATGGACGAAAAATGGTAAAATATTATTTAAAAAACAGGAATAAAACTCAATAAGTTGGGCTAATGGTGATATAGAAGATGCTAATTGCGACATTCAAAATTTAAGGTTGAACATAAAAACTACACATAAAAATAGGAAATGCAAATATATTGTCAATTTCATAAAAAGTAGGGAAGAGTGATTTAGCTATATATATTTCAAGTATAATTTATACATAAGCCTCCTTGATAACTAAAAACATTCATGTATTCTCTATTTTGCTCAAACTTAGAATGCCAATATATTGTAAATTTCATGAAAAATATTGAGAAATAAATTAATGGTCGAAACCGCACAACAAATTGACCACACGTAGAAGACTACTTTGATAAAATGGGAAGGAAGGACACTTTTTTTAATATCTATTTTTAATCCAAATTATTTTCATATTCTTTTATATTATTCAAACCTATTAAACTTTTATTAATCATCCAAATTTTTCATATTGTATCAAAATATTAGTCAGTTTTACGTCATCGTTAATAATTTTGTAACTCTTTTCTTAGTTAAAATACTAAAATTTTGGAATGTTGTCATTCATGAGTCTCTTCCAAGTCAGTATCATGTTGCCAAGTTAATATTACTAACAAAATTGCAAACTGGAAGTTAACATTTGACTAATTTTGAATATGTCGATAGGTTTGGATAATATAAAAGAATATGAAAAAGATTTGGATAAAAAATAGACATTACCCATTTTTAGGATTAATATATTTGTATGTCCTGAAATTTTCACATAATAAACATCCTGGCCAATCTTTTTGATCTATAACATCATTGCCTAAACTATACACCAAAGTAACGAAACTGGCCAAACCCAAAAATTGACTGTTATCTTGGATGATCAAACGCGTTGACTAACGGTCAACGCGCCACGTCATCGCCAAGTCAACACCTTTTCAATAAAAAATATTATATTTTCCTCCTATTACTATTTTTTTTTTTTTTTCATTTTGTGTTTAATTGTCTTTTGGTGTCTTTCATTACAACAAATGACAGGTGATAGGCAATTTGTTTGGTTCTTTAATCACCATTGGCTGGTAACTGGGCGGAGTGGGCATTCTTCCCCATTTATTAGTGCATTTAACTTTATGCACAGTTATTCGTCGGGCAAGTTAAAAGACCTACAACTACCTCCATCGTAGAATATGTTCAAATGCAAGCATTACAATGTACAACGTGATTACATCCTACTTAATATGGATGGGCTCATTAAGAAAGAGACATTTAACAATCAAAATGTTCAGAACTAGAATATGTTTTGGTTGTCACAGTGACAATCAAAATTCTACCAAAACGAAGTGTATATTATGCTATTGGTACTTGGCCTTCGTGGCTAGGCTTGCCCCAACCCCTTCGAACTGGGACCATTTTGTTACAAAATGAAAATAGTTGTGCTCATTTTGTCACTCAATTAAATGCATTGTGACCATTTTATTTTCGAAGTGAAGTGTTGTTTGACCATTTTTTATGAGCTAGCAAGATTTGACCATTGTGTCCATTGGGTGGTTCGGGTTGCTAAATTAATGGATATTTTATTAATAATTTTGATGGCATGGAGTGCTTATTAGACCAAATTAACGTAGCTATGAATGTAGAAGGACGAAATGAGCATTTTTGTTGTATGTTCAAACATTTATTATGAGTCTTTTAAACTTAAAAGTTTATGACTGTTTTGTACAAAGTGCAAAAGTTTGTGACAGTTTACAATAATAATTTGTTGTGGGTGGGTTGCTTGCCACCCAAATGAGGGTGGCATGTGTTTTTTACTTTTTTTAGTGATACGTGTTACTTAATGGATTCGAATTTGAGACCTCTAGACTCAAGGTTGAAGATCAGTGATAATACCATTGGATCAAACTCTTGTTCGCAGATAATGGATAGTCGTCAAATTGCTTTGTCGGTTACCCTTGACCCAACCACATCCACCCACCACCCACTCAACCCAAATAAAAAATGTGTCTGGATTGTAGGTCACAATTGTATCATGTTGTTAAAAAGCGCGTGAGTCAATTTATAACCATAATCCACCCAACCCACTCATTAGCCATTTTCCACCCGTAAGTCCACTGTAAAAAGGTTGTCAAACCGTTTCGAGATTAGACACTGTCACATCCTCTCCCTATCGAGTGGTATAATGTGTACTATGATGTGCGTGAGAGTTAAATATATGAGCTATGTGTCCAAGGGTATTGTTATAGTTTGTAAGTGCTAAATGAATAGTTCATCTAGAAAGAATAATTCTAAATCTCCATCACTACAAAAACCTCCACCACACCACTAGAAATTTAATTCCCTTCCAAAACCCAGTTGTACGCCTGTACTTGCCAATAGTAGAGGAAAAGTGGTTCAAGGTCAACCGACTTTAACCAAGAGTAAACCGAGAGGCTTCTAGAGGAGAGGGTTGGACAAAGAAATCAATTCCCTTGTCTCATTTTGGTTCCCCCATACCACTTACTCATTTACATGCATCAAAAACTTGCCACCATCAAGTATTTGACCCAAACACCTGGTCTAGCTTGGCGGTGGGAATTAAATGAGGGAGAAGAGAGGGCTCTCCATTAGCAAAAGAGATGACCGCCACCACCCTTTATTCAGCTAGTATACAGAAGTAGAGTTAGAGAAAGGCTACTGTCATCCATCCCAAAACCAAATTCTTGACCAGCTCTTTTCCTTGACAAAAGAAGCAGTTTGGCGGGTAGAGTGAGCTAGCACATGGTCAATTAGCGCATAAGGTAATTGCCTTGCTGTTAGTAGTTGTTGAAGTGTTGGTAAGGAAGAGAGGGAAATTATCACCGGGGGTAATGTTTAATTATGTGAACCATGTCTCAAGCTTATGATTGGGTAGTGAAATGGGTATGCATGTGTGTGATATATATGAGTTTGGTTTGGCGTGCATGTATATGTATGTGGGTGTTTTTGGTGTATTAGAACTCAGTGGAGAATTGGTTTGCATGTGAGGATTAATCAATCTTAAAAGGGGTTTGCATGAGTCTCACGCAAGCTTAGGAGGGGATGGTTATTTGGTGGGTCAAGTGAGTTCCTCAAGAGGAAAGGAAACCATTATTGGGATTTGGGTGATTTTGATATGCATATTTACTTCCATGTGTTCCAGGTAAAGCGAGGAACCACTTAGGATGAATGGTTTATAAGTGATCATTATTATATAATTTGCACATAAATTAATAATTTGCACATAAATTCAACTAGAAGGGAGTTAGCTTTGGAATACGAGAGGCTTTAGAAGGATCTCCTATGTTGGTAGCTTAATTAGGAAGAATAGTCCTGTGTGGGAGAGTTGTATGTCTCGGTGCGTATAAGTTATAGTTGGTCAATTAAATTGTTCGATCATTAAACATGTTTATATGATTGTGTCTAAAGGAATGGAGCAAGCTGGGGAATCATCAAGAGGCAAGGGTATAGTGGAATATCAAGTGTGTTGTGAGTAAATTCTAACCTATTAATCGTATGGATGCAAATATGGTATTCGGGTCATGAAGCGGCCCGAATATAAAATATGAAATGTGGAATTAATCGATGGCAATGACTATATGTGTGTGAATGAAATGATATGTGATGAATGATGGGTGAATGTGATGTTCGTATGACTATTTGATGATATGTAGGAAACGTGATAGATGATTATTATGAACGGGAAATGAAATGTGTATGTGATATGAAATGGCTTAAAAGGATATATTACAATACGGAAAAGACTATGAGGCAGTGACGAAATAATGAATGGCCTGAATGACTATACAAGGATACTGGGCAGCCCGCCAGCACAGGGCCTCACATTTTGAGGGGCCTCATCTCATACCAACATCCAACAGGCTAAGTATTAGTTAAGGACAATTGGGCTACATCATAGGCCTTTATAAGTTTACTCTCTTTATTTAATTGTATGGGCCACGGGAAGTTGTGGGCCACAGGAAATAATGTATGGGCTAAAGATGGAAAAAAATGAATTAAATTAATAATCACCTACATGAGTATGTCAATATGTTTTTGAGAGATCGACCAAACATAAAAAAAAAATTCACAGCACTAACGGTCAAACAAAGATTTAATAGACTTTCTAACAAAAAAAGATTTAATAGACCAGTCTCCTAGCTAGTGATGGCAATTTGAACCCGCCCCACGGGTATTATCCGACCTGACCCGCGATGGGGAGGGTATTACCCGACCCGCAATAGCGTGAGACGGGGCATGGGTTTCTACTTTCGATCATCCCTGCCATGCCCCGACCCATTCTAGACCCATTTTATCTCAATTTCTTACAGAATCTATACATATTTCCCCCATTTTGACTTTTCTTCAACTAGTAAGAGTCAATTTTTCAATTTTTTCGACTCAATTACCTATTATATTATCAATATTTTCATTCATAAAGTGTATTCCCCTTTATTTTATCATAAAAGGTAAAATTTGGGTGTATTTTTTTCACAGAATATATAAGAGTGGGTCGACCCGCCCCGTCCCGTGCGGGTTTAACCCGCCCCGGCCCGTAGTAGGATGGGGCGGGGCATGAGAATTGAGGTACCCGCCCCGCCCCGCCCCATTGCCATCACTACCCTTAGCCCATCAATAACAATTGAGGTAAGTTCCCTTTCCCGTTAATAATTGGTAATCAACATAAATAGAAGGGTAATGTCTATTTTTTATCCAAATCTTTTTCATGTTCTTTTATATTATTCAAACCTATTAAAATTTTATTAATTAGCCAAATCTTTCATAATGCATCAAAACATTAGCCATTTTTACGTTGTGGTTAATAATTTTGTAACTCTTTTCTTAGTTAAAATACTAAATTTTTTCAATGTAGACCTTCGTGTGTCTCTTCCAAGTTAGTATCATGTTGCCAAGTCAATATTACTAACAAAATTGCTAACTGGAAGTTAACATTTGGCTAATGTTTAGTATTTCGATTGGTTTGGATAATATAAAAGAATTTGAAAAAGGTTTGGATAAAAAATAGACATTACCCTAAATAGAAGTTACTTTCATTTGAAAAATAAATATTTGAAATCCAATCAATTATTTCTACTCATCTTATATGCTCCTCCCTTTTATATTTCTAGAATTCAACCCATCTTGTACTCAATTGAGGTCCCATAATCTGTTGAAATGAGTCTAGTAGATAGACTAATTTTCAATTCGGTTAGTGTTTGAAATTTTTTACTTGTTTCACTCTCTCAATAATCAATTTTGTATTTTATCATCTTGTTTCAACTATCATCAATTATCGTCATTCTGTGGACAACGACTCAAAAATAATTGAACATAAAGTTTCCATCTTCTTGCGTCCATAATAATATTTAGGAATTTTTACTTGAATAATATAATAATATTTATTTTATACAAATAAAAAAAATCGAGCCACGTTTTATTTTTGGCACAGGGCCTCCAATATTTATGGGCTGGCCCTGATACTGGGATAGCCTAATTGGCTATCGTGTGTTACTGGAAAGCCTATAAGGCGGAAATGTGAGATTGAAGCCTATAAGGTGACGATGTGATTATATAAATGGTGAATGTGACTATGTGAATGTTATGAATATGTGACTAACTAAAGAATTGCATGATCACCTAAATCAAACTTATTGGCGCCCTGTCATGCACTCTATGAGATATGATACTGCGGCTTTATGCCTAACTCTCTGGGAGAGCGATACCAGGCCTGGTCATTGGCGATGCTTAATGCATCTATTGGCGGTGCTTTATGCATCTATTGGCGGTGCCTAAGGCATCTATTGAGCGGTGCTTTATGCATCTATTGCCGGTGCTTAATGCATCTATTGGCGATGCTTTACGCATCTACTGGATATACCCGAGGGAGTGCATGACTTGGCAATTTAAAGGCAAAAAGATACGTAATCTGGCTAACCATGTGTGTGTGTTTGAATGTGTGCACTAGTGTGTGTGTGTGTGGGTTTGACTACTGAATTGTGCATGGTTACATGTCTGAAATGCCTTAGCAAAGTGAATACTGAAATTGGTTTTCTCGGGAAACTAAGAGATTAAGCACGGGGTTCGACTTCACTAGATATTATATTTGTATTGATACTGTTGATATGTCAGCTTTTACTCATTGAGGTGACGTCTCATCCCCGTCAAATATTTTTTCCAGATTAGAAGTTTTGGACTATAAGTCAAGGAAACTTAGCAAGGACCAGCTCGGCATCAATGAGGTGGGATGGTGGACTCAGACTTCGACATTACTTGTTTATAGCATTTTGAGAGAAGATGGTCTTCTCTACTGTCATGTGCTTAGAAGTTTTAAATGTTTATATAAATTATGGTTTGGTTTGTAAGCTAAACATAATTGTAAAAAGGTTTTAATCGGTACGATCTTGTGAATGTTTTAAAGTATGCATGGGTGTTACAGTCACAGACACAACATAAAAAGATCTTTTAGAAGTATCTATTCCTTCGAGGGCGGTTGGGGGTGTGGCCAAAGGGAGTAAGATGACACTATGACTTTATTTGCTTGGTGTATTTGTAAATGTAAATATTTTGACAAACTGTAGATATTGATAATATTGACATTTTCAAATGTGATGGTTGTTACAAAAAATTTACATTAGTCATTTTTCAATGAGTCGTTTGTATAATGTGACCAATTTGTCTTAACATCTAATATGTTCCTCATAATGTCATCATTTTGATTAGGGACAGTCATTTACAAACGTCTCCTTTGCTTTTTGTTGGAAAAAAATCATTTGGCATCAAATGACTCAAACAAATACCCCTTAATTGTTTCTTACTATCAGAATGTTCAAATTTATCTATAGGACTTGGTAGTTGCAATTTCTCGTATTAGGTACTATGCCACCATCTTTTATTTGTAACTACCACGCAATTTCTTGTATTTATGAGTTGTAACTTCCTGCCGAAGAAACATTACGTGGAGATTAGAAATTGCCATAACAAAGTAGCTTTATGACGTAATTTGAGATAGACACAAACAGAAAATAGAAAAGAACCAATAATGGGAAGTAATTAATTAGAGGTAGTAAATAGAATACTATACTTAAAACGAGGACTTATCTTTGTCGGTGGGGCCACGCAAATATCTCCCGAAATAGCCCTTGGCCTTATCTCTCTCGAGTTAATATTTTTTTTTTTATATTCCGCGCAAACGGTATTTAGACAGAGCCAAAACAGAGGGGCAGGCAGCCGAAATATCGCCAATTGCCGAAACAAACCGGAGCTCAACGTCGCAGTCGAAACCAAAGGTGAAGTCGAAGTTCTCTCCTTCCTTCCTCACTAGGGTTTTTCCGCTTCGCGAAATTCTTTTCGGATTTCTTGTTTCTATCTCCTCCGGTTCTCTCGATCCCACGTCGACCTTTTTCCTGTGTTTTTTCTCGGTCAGCTCTCTCTCAATTGGTATTTTTTTATGTCCACATATGCTTGTGATTGTCGCCACTTATCAGCTCTTTTCTTGGATGTATTAGTCTACTTTGATGAGTGATGGTGAAATTGCGGGTTTCCGAACCGAGAGAGAGAGACAGCGATTTGATGGATGCTGTCATCTTCTTGTTTGTTCAGATCAATGCCTGCTGTGTGGAAATTTCTCGCTTCCTTGCGCGTTACTTATCACGTAGCAGTCTATCTGCGCGTTTTTTTAATGACAAAAACAATTGGGTTTCTTGTTGGGTTTGATCTTCTGCCTCAATAGAGATGAGCTGGTTTTAAGGTTCTCTCTCATGGTTAACTGTTATTCGCAAAGGTACTCCGGGATATTATTTATCCAATTCAATCGGTGATTGGGAAAGGTCGATTCTTTTCATACTTGGGTAGCTGTTTTGTGCTGATAAGATTGGTGGGTACTACAGCTCAGATAAGTGGTAGGTTTAAGATATTATTACTCCATTGGTGGGATATAAATAGGGTCTTCGTCAACGATTAGAAGGGAAGGAAGAGGAAAAGTCAGGGTTGGTTTGAGGGCTTTCATTCGTCTGCTATATATCCCACCTTGTTTTAGTCGCTAGGCCAATCATTCTCTTTTGCATCATTCGAATTTTTCTCTGTAGTCGACTCTGTAAGTTCCTCTCTCTTTCTATCGTCTGCACGTTCAATTTGTTCGTTCTAGGTGGTTTAGAAGACTTCTGGGTATTGGTTCATTGGTAGAAAGCTTGTTAAGTTTTTGTTCTTTGCATATGGCCGTTGGATCGCATGCTCTGGTTTAGCCTGGACGCAATAGGCTTAATGGCAACTGTCTGATGTCCGAATTTTCTTCTTGATCCCTTTTGACTGACTTCATTGGTTTTGGTTACTTTGATCCGTGATTATTGTAGAGAAGATGGGTAATCTTTTTTGCTGCGTTCAAGTTGATCAGTCCACTGTAGCTATAAGGGAACAATTCGGGAAGTTTGATGAGGTTCTGGAGCCTGGATGCCACTGTCTGCCGTGGTTCCTTGGTAAGCAGCTGGCTGGTCATCTGTCTCTGAGAGTTCAGCAGCTGGATGTTCGTTGTGAGACCAAGACAAAGGTACATTTCTTGGCAATTGCAAACATTTTGCCTTTTTGATTGCCACTGTTGAATTGCTTGAGTGTTCCTTCACTAGTCTTTGCTGATGGTTAGTGTATCTTATCTGATATTTTCTGGTTTCTATTAACTTTATAAACTTCAAAATGCAGTGCTTAGGAGAATTCAAGAATCCTTTTGTTGTGTTCAAAACTTGTTTGCCGCGTTGATTATTTGTTTTGAATCTTTCTCTTTACATGTGCGTGCTCACAATTTCTGTATTCTTGTTTCCTTGTTTTCTCAGAAAGATGTATGAAGTTACATGTTTGCATTGATTATCTTAGTTGGTTTGCCATACTGTGGTGATCAGTTAATTTGCAAGCTCTAGTAATGTCTGATTATCCTTATTTCTCCAGGACAATGTTTTTGTTACGGTTGTCGCTTCTATTCAATATCGTGCCCTGGCAGAGAGGGCAAACGATGCTTTCTACAAGCTTAGCAACACCAGGGGCCAAATCCAGGCCTATGTTTTTGATGGTATGTATTCTCATTCAATCATATAACTCATGGCATGCAATTACACCTCTGTGCCCAACACGCTGCTTTTAGCTCCCACTTGTTTCTCTTCTAATTTTTCCACTACTAACATAGTACAATGCTTTTGTATCTTCAGTGATTAGGGCAAGTGTCCCAAAACTCCTTTTGGATGACACTTTTGAGCAGAAGAATGACATTGCCAAAGCTGTCGAGGATGAACTTGAAAAGGTAATTTTCATTGAACTTTAACCGGTTGAGTCTAGCCATGTAGGCGACTCATTGAATTTGTTCCCACAATTCTAAGCCTCAATCTAAACTTCTTTGCAGGCTATGTCTCACTATGGATATGAGATTGTGCAAACACTCATTGTCGATATCGAACCAGATGAGCATGTAAAGAGGGCAATGAATGAAATAAATGCTGGTAAATTATTTGTTCCTCGTGTGTAAATCATTTTACTTTGTTTCATTAGTAGTACGCTTCTGATTGCCCTTCCGTTTCTTGCATTTTAGCTGCAAGAATGAGGCTGGCAGCTACTGAGAAGGCAGAGGCTGAAAAGATTCTGCAGATCAAACGAGCTGAAGGTGAGGCTGAATCGAAGTACCTCTCTGGGTTGGGTATCGCTCGCCAGAGGCAAGCAATTGTGGATGGATTAAGGGACAGTGTGATTGGCTTCTCTGAGAATGTGCCGGGTACATCTGCCAAAGATGTCATGGACATGGTCTTGGTGACACAGTACTTTGACACCATGAAGGAAATTGGTGCTGCCTCCAAATCCTCAGCTGTCTTCATTCCCCATGGACCTGGTGCAGTTCGTGATGTTGCTTCTCAGATTCGTGAGGGTCTTCTCCAAGCCAATAATGCTCATTAATTTGACAAAAACCTCCGATGCCTATTTGTGGTTGTGGTTTTCTCTCTTGCTTTGAACAATACGGTTATGGCTATGGTGCTTTTTTTCTTTTCGCAACAGATTTGAGGTCTTCTGCTTATTACCTGTACAGCATATAGATACAGAACTACAAGCTGGGTTTGAGAATTAGTTCGAATGTCTCTGTTGGGATTTTAGGGTTTGTGGATGAGTAGTGATTGTTAATTCCTGCACTGTATTTTGTTGATTTGAGAAAGAGGATATATTTGCTTTGTGCTATTTGGGTCTTTGCCCTATTGGAGCTTGCCTATCCTGCTGGCCATGGATTCAACGGCAGTTTGAAAGGTTCTCATATTCAGGAATTTTTGGATCCACGCTTTTTTTTCAACTCGTTCAAGCATTTCATAGCTTACTACACCCTTCCTCCTGCACTCAGGAATAGTACTACTTCGAAAAATGTGTGATTCATTAAGTGAAAAAACGCTAACTGAATATCGATTATCGCACTGAAACTTCTACCCTATTTGTTTCAATGTGGTAGTTTGTCGCTATCGGTTGATTGAATACATTATGTCAAATCATCATATTGACAATTTCTCCAATTGACCTCCAGTTCCATGTATAAACTTGCTTTTTTCTTTTATTTTCTTATAATCCTACTGCATCTGGAATTATTAGATAAAAATGTTCTCCTTAGCCAAAGTGCTTAGGAGAAAAACTGGAGGTCTGGTTTCCCAAATTTCTGGGGCTCCTTAGTTACAGAGGACATGGGCCGATTCATTACTATACTCAAAATGAGGACTTATCTTTGTCGGTGGGGCCCTCGCAAATATCTCCCGAAATAGTCCGGGCATTGCTATTCGTCGCCCTAAAATTTTATTATTTGTCGCTCTAATTAAATTAAATTTACTTTAATGACCTTGGTTCATTTATTTGTCGGGCTATGCGGTCTCGAGGAGACCTGTTGGCCGGAGGAGACTCTTCGCTGCTGGTTCTCATTTCCCGTCGACGACTTTGTCACGGCTGGTGAAAAAGAATAGGAAGTCATCTTCGTTGTCTCCCATGAAGTTTCGTTGATTGTTATAGTACCACAACTGATACATTCAATTTTGAGTTTTTTATTCATTTCCGTCAATCCATCTTACTCCCTGCCCAATCTAACCTCCCACAACCATTAAAATTCGGGTTAATTGCAAAAATATTTAATTCCATTCGCGGTCACTAAAATTTGTTCAATAGTTCGAGTTTGGGTTTTAAAAAGTGGAGGTATTGCGCTCAGTGAGGGTTTCTGAGGGAGGGCATTCGTGGACGGGTGGCCGGAAATTTATCCGGTAGGGTAAAATCTCAATTTTGGTATAATTATTGTATATGTTTTATTTATTTTAATTCATCGGAAAGATGATGTGGAAATAGTAATAATATAATATAATTTTTATTTTATTATTTTTTATTGTCACATCACTTATTTAACGGTCAACTATGAGAGTTAACCGCCACATCAGCTCAAGTTAACGGAGTTGGACGGAGAGTGACCAAACTCGAACTATTTAACAAATTTTAGTGACCGCGAATGGAATTAAATATTTTTGGTGACCAAACATGAACTTTTTTTGTAAACACAGAGACGAAACTTGCCATTAACCCTTAAAATTCAGAGGGGAATAGGATTGGATGGCGGCACATCGAAAGTTGGATCTTTATTAAGGGAAAAAAGAAAATTGTTCCTTGCCCGATCCCACTTGTGCCCAAAAGTAAACACTACTTGTCCCTACCCTTCGCCAAAGTCGAAACGCCTGCTTTACCCGACTGTACTGCCGTCGGACGAATTGGAATCCCATCTCCGGCGAGGTCGGGACGGATGCCGTCCGACGAGTAATACCAAAAAAAAAAATTAATTGCGGCGGCTGAATAGGTTGCAGATGTGGGCGGGAAGTCTACAACCGCCTTTGTTCTTTCTCCTCGCCTAGGGTTCGCTGGCTGGGCACACACAGGCCGGAATCGATGGGCGGTCGGCCGTCTATGTCAAGAAAAGGCGGAGGGATAGATATGTCAATTTGTTGTATGTTAGGGCGATAAAATTTGAATTTTAGGGCGACGAATAGCGATTCAGAATAGTCTTTGGCCTTATCTCTCTCGAGTTAATATATATAATAGGGTTAATTGCATGGTTGGTCACTAATATTACTAAAAACGTTCAAGTTTGGTCACTCTAAATATTTAAATCCATTGGTGGTACTTTAGTTTATTGAAACTATTCACGTTTGGTCACTCTCCGTCCAACTCCGTTAACTTTTGCTATGTGGCGGTCAACTTTAAAAGTCGACCGTTAAATGTGTGACGTGACAATTTAAAAATAATAAAATGATCAAATTAAAATTTTCAAAATTGTCATATTATTTCCAACTCATTACATTGTCACTTTTATTTAAAATAAATAAAAAATCCTAATTTCTTCTAATCCCCAATATCAATACCCCACCCTTTGACCACCCACTAGTTTCATCAGTTATGGGTTAAACACTTAAACTGGTTTGACAAACTTGCAAGAGGGTCGCAATTTCAAAGAGATTTGATTAACTCAAGTTAGTGAATAATTATATCTCCAACTAATCTTATTAGAAGTCCAGATTACAAGATGAATATTGAATACTCTTGTCAACGATCACAGTCAAGAACAGAGCAAATTATTTACCCGCGAGAGATCGAATATCTCCAACCAATCTTCTCCAACTTGGAAGTTGCAATAGTAAAAGCTTTGGATATGCAATACAAAGCCCGTCCCTGCAAACCATTATTAGCAGCCAGTACTGGAACCATGGTAAATGGAGCCATCCAAGACGTAATAGTCAGCAATGGAGTGACTTCCTCAGGACTCTCCCTCCGCTGCTTCCTCATCACAAACATATGGGTTCCATCAGGGGCGGAGTCAGGATTTCGAGACCGGTGGGCCAAAAATAGATAAATGTAAATAAAAATAAAATAATTAGTTTTAAAGTCTACAACGTTCTTTGAGATCATTGAAATCTTTCAAAATAGCATATAAAAATAAAATAATTAGCTTTAAAGTCTACTACGTTCTTTGAGATCATTTAAACCTCTCAAAATAGCATCTGAACTAAAAATATTAGCTATCTTTCTTTCAATATAAATAACTAAATCATTACCAAGAAACTCATCATTTATTTTGTTTCGCAATCTATTCTTCACTATCTTTATACCTGAATACATGCACGATCACATGTAGCTTTAGAAATTTGGAAGAGTTAGAAGAAGATAAATCAACATATCAACAAAATAAAATTCCTTTGACGCTAATCTTTTTGTTCATTCCGACATAGTTAAAAAAATAGATCATATAGTTTGTATAAAGAGCTAAAAATCTCAAGTGAACTAAATAGAGGTTGATTTTTTCATTTGTAGCTCGATTAAAGTAACAAAAAGAATGAAAAGAAGTTGGTATCCATTTGCTTTGGTCTAGGACCTTGTGGAGGAGAATTAAGATAATAAAGTCCAAAAAGAAGTTAAAGCAAAAATGAGGTTGAGGAGAATTAAGATAATAAAGTCCAAAAAGAAGTTAAAGCAAAAATGAGGTTGTTGTGGATCAAACCTGTTTGCTTTAGGCTAAAAGTTTAGTTTAGCTACCAATAGACTACATGATTTTTATATGACATAATGTACAGGTCGAGCACTACTTATCCAAATTTTATCTAAATATTCTTACGATCCTAGGGGCCGAGACTATTCCGAGGTGGGCGGGGGCCCACCATACTCTCTGAGTAGCTCCGCCCCTGGGTTCCATCACTTCGCTCAACAATGTACTGCAACACAGAACCAGAAACAACAGCTTCAAAACGGGGAATTGGAATTCGGGAAGGTGGAAAGTTCTGAGGCATTTACGAGAGGTGGGAGATATCGAGAGGGTGAATTGCCAGACTTGGGAGCGGCTCGTTGTTGCAGTTACAGTCGCGAAATGGGGAGAGTGCAAAGTAATCGAATATTAGGTTGCGACCGAGAGGGTATGTATTGAGCCATAGCCCCGTCATGTCAGAACCCGGTGGCGATGGCTACGGATCAAAGGAGTCCGGCCAGATGGAACAAGAAAAGTAAAAAAGTTAAATTCGTCGCGTGAGAAAGGGTGGGGTATTGATATTAGGATTAGAAGAAATTAGGATGTTTTATTTATTTTAAATAAAAGTGATAATGAGGTGGAAATGATATGACAATTTTGAAAAATCTAATTTTATTATTTTTAAATTGCCACGTCACACATTTAACGGTCAACTTTTAGAGTTGACCGCCACATAAGCAAAAGTTAACGGAGTTGGACGGAGAGTGACCTAACGTGAGCGGTTTCAATAAACTAAAGTACCACCAATGGATTTAAATATTTCGAGTGACCAAACTTGAACGTTTTTTGTAATCTCAGTGACCAACCATGCAATTAACCCATATATAATATATAATTTCCAAAATACCCAAGTTTGGAGTGATTCGTTGGTATGTCAAGCGAACCACTATTGGTATCGCTGATAACAAGAGCGATCTAAACTAAATCGCGGGACAGAAGAGCGAACAACCCCAAATGAGTGTGAATCGCTGAACTGGTCAGCGAACCACCGGATCGCTGCCAATTTTAGCGAACCCTTTCCCATCACCCCCATCATCTGGCCCACAGCCACCAATCATTTGCCTCAGCGTGCTGCAGCACATGGTTAAGGGATCCTACTGCTGGTCGCGGCGGTCTCGACTGACTCTTCACCCGCCACCTTTGCTTTGAGCTTCCTGCAACATGTAGTCCCGGCAACTCCTCAGTTTCTTTGCTTCTGTAACGTTGAAGGAAGACACGTCGGGTCATGGGAGCTTACACGTAGTATTGGACATGCATATTAGTGGAAGGGGTGATGAACCGTAACCCACGATTCAAGGATTTTGCTTGTAACTCACAAGCGAGAGAAAGACGTTGGTGTCAATGAACCTTTGATATATTAATTGAATACGGAACTAATGTCGAAGTTACATATTTATATAAGAAACTAGATTGTACCCCGGCCCGTTGGCCGGTTGCAATATGATCACATGAACTAATAAACCTTCAAAGTTTTAATTTCAGTAATCTCCACTTCTCTTATAATTGTAACATGATTATATGTCAATGCTATGCGAATTAACAAATAACGATAACGATTTTACCAAATAGCAAGCTAGTTTAATTTCTTAGTTTTTACCATTAAGGAATTCAAATTATTCGCATCTGGGAAAGAGAAAATGTGGATCCATCATAAAAATTACTTAACATTGTAATCAGAGGCATCTGTGTAGATTCTTGTTGTCATTAAGCATATAGGTGTTCCAAAATAATATCACCTCTTAACCATCAACTCCACTATATTCATCATTGATAAGTGCTTTACAACAAAAGAATTTGCCTCATTATCGTTGCAATTGTTGTTGGAGATTATATTTTTCATCAAT